TCAGCAGGACATGCCCGGGTACACATCCAGGTGCTGCTGCAGCACAACACAGCTGCTCAGGAGCCAGCAGAGCCCTTTACTCCCTTCTTTGAATTCTCCAATCATTTTCAAATTATGTGAATAGCCCAGCAGCACCAGGCTTCATCATTTTCTTTTGCCTTTCTGGAAGGACTGAAATTTTCCTTCTCTCTCTTGAAACAGAGACCAGCAGCTCCTGGCCACCACCCTGTGGTGTTGCCCTCATTTTGGGGCTGTGTCTGCAGCCCAGATGGTGGAGGGTCAAGCTGCCTGGCAGCACAGCAGCAGGAACAGCATCGGTTTTAATTCAATTTTAATGGAGAGATCAGAATGAATGTGCAAAACAACAACTGCATTTCTGAGTCGGGCTCGTTGGGTCTTTGCAGACTCGTGGAGGTGAAGGGACCCGGGCAGATGGCACAGCTTTATCAGCTGAATGAAGTCCCCAGACACACACACCTCTGCAGCCTCTAACGTGGGGAAAAGCAGGGATGACCCCTCTCTGGCCAGCATCACCCATGTGCCCCCCACAATCCCACCCAGCACTGGGAGCCCCAGCCCCTGGTCTGACAGGGCATCACTGTCCCCATGAGGGGACAGCTCATCCCCAGTGAAGTGAACTGTGAGTAAAACAGAGAGCAGCACTTTTCTCCTCTCCAAGAAAACTGACTTTAATAATTTGGACACCTTGAAAGGCCCCTACCACAGGCCAGGAGGTGATTATTCCTGCAGGAGTGTTTCCAGGGCAGGTGCGGTGGGAACGCTGCCTTCCCGGGAGAGGACCCACAACCCCCCCTTCCTTACACCCCTTCATCCTCACAGAGACAACTTCTGAGGCTCTTTCCTATCCATTTGCTCCATGGGAATGATAACAATGAAGAGTGAGATGGGGGAACAGCAGGCAGGAGCTCTCAGGGTACTTGCAGCACGCCAGGTCCCAGCACTGCTGCACCTCTCCAGCCACCTCAACCTCCTGCTCCCAAACCTCATCTCCCTTATCTTGGTTTTCCCTTGCTCCAGTTCTGCCCAGAGGATTCCTCAGGATCCCTCAAAGGTGCTGCCCTAGGGAAATGCCTGTGACACTCAGTACCAAAGCAACGCAAGAGCCTCTGGCCCCCTGAAGTGGCAGGAGAGGAGGATTTTTGCTCTGCATGTGCAAATCATTTCCAAGGGGAAGCAAGCAAGGAAAAGCAGTTCATGCTCAAAAGGGAGAATCAGGCCCCAGCAACCACTGCTGATACCTGTCCCTGCAAACCCAACAGAAAGGAGATGTCCCTGCCACCTCCTCCAAGCCATACCTGGGTCCTCATGATGGTTTTGATAGCAGCTTCAAACTCCTCAGAGTTATTGTAGTCAACAGTCCACACGTGTGGCTTCCCAATGAAGTCTTCAGCATATGGATGTTGGGAGGACACCTAAAACCACAGCAGTGTGAGCTGGTTGCTGCAACTCCTGCCAAAACAGCTGCTCACAGCCCTGATGGCAGAAGAACATCAGGCTTCAGCACAGACACGTTGGGTTTTAACCCACTGCACATGGAGATGTGTTGGAAAAAGGCTCCCTCTGAACCCAGCTGCCCCCTGACATCAGGTTGATGCTCTAAAATTCCCACTGGGTGGGGATGTCTCACCCCCATCAACACTGAAATTGCATCCACCAGCCCTGAATGTGGGGAAAACCTATCCTGGACCTGGACCATTTGTAGATCTGGAGGAGGAAAAATAGATGGAAGCAGCAAAGCTCTGGGAAGGCACCAAAGCTCTGGGAAGGCACCACATGTCTCAGGTTTGCCAGCTCCAGAAACAAGGCAGAGAGAACATCCATCACCACTGAAGGCCAGGGAAGTCTGGCACTGGGAGAAAGCCATGCTGGAAGCTGCAACCACCCAATGCCACAGGCAGCTCCACAGGTACCACCTGCCTCTCACCAGGCATTTTTGGGGGGATACACCTCTTGTTTCAGCCCCTGAGCTGCCTTTTCATCCCCACGTTGCTGCAAGGCAGCCAGAGCCCTGGATCTCCTCTCGAGAAGGGAGGAGAGAGGATACTGAGCAGAGAAGGTGTTTCAGGGGCAAGAAGTGTAGCAGAGGGACCTGAAACCCCTCCAGAGGAGGAGAGCAGGGCACTCTCCAGCTCACCATCCTGTCTCATTCCTGGCTGACAGATTGGTCACCTCCTTCCCCACCAGCACATACACCCCCCGGGGCATTTCCCAGCCCAGGCAGCACAACTGCAGCACCCATCCAGGATGGGTGCTAACACCAGCAGCTTGTTAGGTGGGTGAGGGGAGGACAGTCCCACCCCCAGCCCCACGATGGACCCCTCTGAGCAGGGCTGCAGCAGGGCTGAGCTGCACAGCCCCCCAGCACAGCCCTGCTCATCAGGACTGAGGGTTGCACTGGATTACCCACTTGATTAATAATCAAAGAGGCCATTTTCTCAAGCATTTAACTTTTAAAGAGGTCCTGCTGCACTCAGATTGTGTTCCCAGCAGTGGGTATTCCCGGGAGGGATTTTGGACCCCTGCAGATCCCGGGGTCCTTCTGGGTGTACAAGGGGATGAGCAGGGTACAGGTTATGTGTGGATGGGGAAAGAGCTGCCCTGGGGTCTGTGCTCTGCAGAAGTTTCCTGCACCACCTTCTCAGGGTGGTTCAAGGCCAGGTTGGACGGGGTTTTGAGCAACCTGGTCTAGTGGGAGATGTCCCTGCCCGTGGAAGGTGCCTCCTCCCCACAGCACGGGGGTGGAACTCAATGATCTTTAAGGTCCCTTCCAACCCCAAACCATTCAAGAATTCTCCAACTCTCCTTTGCCACCCCAAACCCACAGCAGGGCCCCTTTGCATCCAAACACTCCAGATGGAGACGATGCAAGGGTGGAAGAGGGGTCCCCACCTGCGCTTGAAGGAAACCTCCCCAACATCCACCACCGAGACATCTACACTCAGTTTAGCGACTGCCCTTCCCCAAACCCCCGTGCAAAGAAGGGGGTGGCCTCCCCCAGCCCACCTGCTCACCTCCTGCCACGCTCACCTCTCTCGACGTGGGTTTCCCACGGAAGAACTCGTGGTTGAGGGAGCTGTGCGGGGGGTTGAAACGCGCCTGCAGGAAGACGCAGCCGTTGGCGATGGCCTCCAGTGGGGCAGGGCCCTCGTAGGGGAACCCGAAGCCAATGAAGAGCTGCAAGGGAGCAAACGCACACGCTGGTGAGCAAACAGGGCCAACCCCACAAGGAAGAGCCTCCTGAGTAACCCACCAGCAGCCCTATCTCCTGCGCTGGTCCTGCTTGCCAAGCCTCTGGACACCCTGGAGCTGAAAATGTGCTAGAAACTCCCTGTTCTGTGGCTCACAGCTTCAAGTCTCCATATGGTGGCTGTTTGGGGAAGTTTAGACTGGATATTAGGCAAAATTTCTTGGTTGTCAGGCCCTGGAACAGGCTGCCCAGGACAGTGGTGGAGTCACCATCTCTGGCAGTATTGACAAGCCCTGTAGATGTGGTGCTGAGGGACATGGGTTAGGGGTGGCCTTGGCAGTGCTGGCGGAACGGTTAGACTGGATGATCTTAAAGGCCTTTTCCAACCAAAATGATTCTATGACTGGTCCTGTATGGAGAAATACTGGTTTGCCAAGGCCATTTGGGCTGGAGAACCAACAGCATTTCCCCCAGAGAGCAGCTGAAGGTGACTGGGACGCGCTCGCACGCTCCCAGAATCCCATTTATTTCTATCCCAGGCATTGGATTACAAAAAAACCCAACCAACACCCCACTTAGCAACACATGAATTCATCAGGAAACCTTGTGCTCCATCTGCAGACAGTCTGCAAGGAGAAACTCATCAGACACATCTTGATCTGAAACGATGTGCTGTGCTAATTAGCCCTGCTGACGGTGCCCGAGAGGAGCACAGATAACGGCCTCTCTGCCACCCCCTCCTTTCATTAGGTTGCATTTCTGAAGGTGTCTGAGTCCTGTCTGCAGGCTGCCTAAAGGGGGACAGTGTCCCATGGACAGCCTGGCTGGTTTCACCCACCTTTGCCTTCCTCAGCAGCTGCTGGAACTCGTGCTGGGGCAGCAGCCCGTGGTTCTTCACGAACGCCGGGACCTCGGGCGGCCGCTGCGTCTCGTAATAAACTGTGCCATGGATCTCCATGTACTTGTTGAGGATGGCCAGGAACTTCTCCTTGCCCTGGGAAGGAAGGTGGAGGTGTGAAGTGCACCAGAAGCTGGGGGCTGATCCCCCCTCCCATTTGAGATTCAACTCCTGAACTGCCACCCCGGAGCAATCCCGATGCTTCAGACTGACCCCCAGCAGAGCCAAACCCACATCCTCCCCTCCACATCCACATCCTGGACCTCTCCAGGCTCCCAGAAAGCCTGGACAGCTGTGGAATCCAGCACCATGAACATAAGCATCTCCAGCTCCTGCCTTCCCTGCCCCCTTCATGGGCAGCTTTCACCCTGGACCTGCTGAATTAAAGAATTCAGAGGCAAGTTTGCAAAGGCCAGTTCTTGCTAACAGCCTCATCCCACATAACATCTCCCTGGGATTTTCTTGCTCAGGTTTAATCCTGTTTTACAACCTGGAAAAATCAAGAAGGTCAGCAGTTTTCCTCTTTTGAAGGCTTTTCCTCATTTTTCTCTGCAAAGCATTTTAACAATTTCTCTACTGTAGATTTCTTTTCTTTTTTTTTGCTTGGAAAAAAAAACCCACACAGGGACCATCCTTTGGTTCATGTATTTTCAGTTTGTTCCAGTGCTGCAATAGGCTCCAAAAAAGCATCAACTGGAGGGAATAAGGAGGTATAAATGGGGAATAAAACTCCATATGTTACCTTAAAGCCTCTCTGAACACTGTATTTCTGCCTCCAGCCACGTATTCCTGGACTTCTCTAAGGCTAAAAGAAAATGCTTGTGGTGGGATAAGGCTGAAGGGTGAAATCCTGGCCTTGGTGCCACTAACACCCAAACTGGCACCGTTTTGAGGGTGATTCTTTAATGCAAAGGGTTTGGGGAGGTGGGAGACACAACCTATAGTCCCTGGGTAGTGCCAAGCATCACCAGGGGGGACCAATCCCCAAAGTCCTTGGCATGGTGGGGGGACTGGCATGGGAGGCCCCCCCTTCACTGCTCCATCCCAGCACCAGGAGCTGCTTTGATCCCTGAGATCTGGGAAGCAGCCTGTGGGAAAAGGGCCTTTCCCAGCTTCTAACAACTTCAGCTCTCGTTGTGAGCTGAGAAGTTCAGAGGGGCAGGGAATGAGAAATAAAGGGAAGGTTGATTTAATGAAACTTCTCTAAATGTCAAAGAGATCCTGCTCTGGAGACAGCCCTTGGTCCAAGGCTTGTAAATAAGCAGCTGGTTCCAGAAGATGGAGGGGCTCTTTTCCTTCCTAAATCCCCAAAATCACTCAAATGAAGGAAAAGCTCCTATTTCCCCTTATTTTAGTACATGGGGAGGGCACAAGATGCAAAGCAATGCTCAGGCAGCCTGGCTCCAAGGAACAGCCAGCAGCAAGAACCAGCCCCAGCCCCTTCATCCAGCAACAAATTACCTTAAATATGCAGCTTTAGGGAAACTCATGTTATTTGTGAATTGTGGGGAAAAGGAGAACAGGAGCAAATGTTTGTAGCACTTGGGGTGGAGGCAAATGGCCCTTCTGAGGTTTGAACTCTCTTTAGTGCCTCTCCATATTAACCTACCTAAGCTCAAATGAAACTTCTGGGTGAGGAACTGGTAGAAAAAGAAAGCAAAATGTTACAGTTCCCCTAAAATCAAAGCTAGTGGGTTTCAATGAGGTTTTGGGGAGCAGATGCTGGGGAGGGGGAGGGGTTGGTTTCAGACATGGGAGCTCAGGAGGATCCAGCCCATCAGTAGGCAAAGTCAAATCCAGGAAAATCTTGTCCCTTGCAAGATGTGCAGAGGTAAAGCCCAGCAGCAGCTGGTGTGGTACAGTACCTGCAACTGGAACAGCCCCAGGTGGTGGCACAAAGGGAAGAAAAAAATAGAAATAAATCAAGAGACCTGGAGAATTAGCTCTCTGCTTTAAAGCCCTGGGAGGAAAAGCAGCTGGGTAGCTCTGGGTAAGAGAGAGGGGAGTACACACACCTCCTGGCCACTACAGGAGATGCAGGGGGGTGTTCTGGGGGCTTGGGGGCATTGCTGGTGTTTTTCCTCACTGGCAGAGCAGTTTGGGGTTGGGGGAACACAGTAAAGGGCTTTACCCCATGTCTGCTGGCCCAGAGGTGGCCTCAGCCAGGGTGCACCAGATGTGGCTGAGTGTGGGGTCCCAGAAAGGACCAGCACTGGGCAGCACCAGGGCTGGAGAGGGATCCTGCACTGCACCCCAGCCCCTCTCTCAGGCACAACAGACACAACAGACACAGGTGGGCAGGAGGGTGGCACGATGCCCTTGCACAGGGCACTCGAAAGCAAAGACAAACCATCCCCATCATAGCACAGGAAACCACCCACCAGCAATCCCAGTTCACACCCAGACCCATGGCCATGGAACGCCCAGCAGCAGCCTGCAGGGAGGGAGCATCACCTCGAGCCAAGAGCAGGGGACAGTCCCACCATGCCTGGTTTGCTCAGAGGTGCTGGGCACGTCACGTCACTGCAGCAGCCTCAGTTTCCCCTCCAGGAAGGGGACAAGGACATTCCTCTACAAACACCTGCAGCATCTCTGCCTCAGAATCTCAGGGGAAGGGCCAGAGGCTGGTGCCAGCCCCAGGACACCCACCTTCCAGATGCTGGCCTCCTTCCCATACACCACTGCCATGCTGCTCACTTTGTTGGACTTGATGAGCTGCTTCTCTGTCTTGTTGAGCTCCTCAGACACGAAGCCCATGAAAGAGTTGTCAGGGGTGTGAGCTGTAGACACCAAAGGGAGAAGACACGTGGCTGGACAGATGGTTCCTGGGACCTCACTAGTGCCAAGGGCCCAGCCCCATGGCAGCAAGAGGAGTGAGATAAGTCCAGCTCCAGAGCCTTGCTGGAGCTTGGAGGAAAAGTGGCATGAATCCACACCCAGGCAGCTCATCAAAATCAGGCCCTGCAACCAGCTCCAGTGGCTCTTTATAAGACAAAGCATTTTTAAGGCTGCCAAATGGGCTCTACCCAACATCTGAGTTTCTCAGTGGGACAGTGCCCTCCTCTCAGACAAGCACATCACCTCTCCATGGCACAGACAAATCCAAGTCATCCAGGTGCCTTTTACCTTTAGAACCCCAACTGAAATAAAACCAGGCTTTGCAACCAAACCTGCCTTGCATCTCCCCTCCCAGGAGATGGAAGCTCCTGGCTGTGCCCTGAGTTTGGCCCTGGCTATGCTGGAGCCAGCAACCCCTCATTGAGGGAGAAGCCAGGTCTCTCAACCTGGAATCTACAGCCCAAGAGATGACCAAGCAGATTTGGGAGCTCCTTGCAAGCAAGAACGCAGCCAGGGAGGACATCACCGCCCACGTATCACCTCCTAAAGGGGCTGAGACCTGCTGCTGTGCTGTCTGAACCTGCCCTGCTGGGCCCCCAGCCCCCCCACTCACGGAACATGGTCATGAACTGGGTGGGCTGCAGGTTCCAGTAGCCCCAGTTGGTGCGGAAGCCGCGCAGGGTGGCGTACTCCTCGTGGTTGTAGGCTGGCTCCGTCCCAAAGGTATCGATCACCCGGACGCGGCACCTGGCAGGGGAGACACCACCCAAGGACCTCAGTTTGAGAAAAACCCCACTGCCAGGGACATCTGATGCCCTCAGGCAGCTTGTCCATCACCTGGCTCCCAAACAGAGGGTGCAGGAGCACCCCAAGCTGCCCTGCCCTGCCCTCTGCTCCAACGTGCCACTTCCCCTCGCGAGGCTTTCATCTCCCTGGCAGTTGTGGGGATGATGTATCTGCTGAAGACTTGCTAATGCTTCTCCCAATATCCCGGGAATGCTGACGCAGGCATTGCCAGCACAAGACAGAGGAGAGAAAGGGAGCAGCAAGCGAGGGAAGAGCAAAACCAGCTGCATGTGAGAGCAAATACATCTATAATAAAAGCAATAACGCCGCGTGTCATTTTTCTCTCTAATAAAATTGTGTAGGATAGTGGAAGAGATGGGAGAAAACATAATAAATAGCAGGACTATCAGCACTAAATTAAATCGCATATTTTCCTGGCTGTTGATGTACCAGGGGATGATGACATTTGTCTGGATGATGAAGGAGACAGGGACAGGGCTCTTCTTCTTGCAAACAGAAAAGGTTGGTGCTTCCCTCTGTGGGGTGCCCAGCCTGGCTGCAGGCAGGGTCCCTGGCAGCACAAACACACACACCCCAGGAACACACAGATTGTGGGGGTGTTTTTCCAATTAAATATCTTCTAATGAGCTTTGGTGTCAAACATGTGAGGTTTGTGGTGGCTCAGCACAGTGGCTGCTGCCAGAGCCAGGCAAAAGTGGAAGCTGGAATCCAAGGGTCCAGCTCCTTGGAGGTGGGGGCTGCTCTTTGAAGTCATGAGCATTAGTCTTTGCTTAAAATTAGCGAAGTGGAGAGTAAGAGAAGGGAGTCACTTTGCTTACCTGTATTTCTTAAAGGAGAGCCCCATGTGCTGCTTCATCTGCTGGAGCCCATGGTAGTCAGTGTAAATCAGGTCGAAAGGCAAAGGACTGGTCAAGGGGCAGTTCCCCCGGCCTGGTGGCACCCCTAAGTGACTGGGGAGACGCAGGAGGGATGGATCAGCCTCCCAGCACCACAAAAACCCTGCTCCACAAACCCTCATTTCCCTGCTGGGGGTTTAACAGGCACCACCCACCAGCTCCCCACTTGATGGAGGGCGAGGCAGATGGTTCTCCTCTCCTCAGCCTTTATTTCCTGGGCCAAACAGCTGAGGTTTTGGGGAGCCCTGATCCCTCCCCACCTTTACACCTGATCCAGCTGAGCTCCTGCTCCTCACATGTGGGTGCTGAAGCTTTTGCACAGCATTCCCAGCAAGGGCTCACCAGCATTGCAGCCAACACACACATTCCCTCCATGTCTCTAGTGAAAGACACCAGATTTCATTTCCCTTCACCTCAGTCACACCAGTGACAGACTTACAGAGTCTTTCCCCTCCTCCTGCCTGCAAGGCTCCCAGCTGAGCCTCAGTCTCCCTGTTCCCAGCCCTACATCCCTCCCAGCACACACCATGCACTGTTTCTCTTAACCCCATCCTTACAGGTACCCATCACATCCCCATCACACCCTCAGCTTCTCACCTTTTTGTCCCATTCATGAAATAGTTCAATAAACCCAAGACAGACAAACCCTGGGTCTCACTTGCTGGGTTTTCAGCCAGTTCCTTACACCAGCTGGACTCAGCCCCTCTTACCTCCTCCAGCAAATAAAAGGCATTTTGAGAAGCCAGATAAACTAGCTGGACTGCAATCTCTTTATCAAGATCACTGGTTACCTTGCTGCCAAGGTGATGTGTGATTAATCTGGCAGGACACAAGGCTAGTGAGCCTGCAGCATGTGTCCTGCCTTTCCCAATTACCCCCCTGAGCTGATGAATCCCTCTCTCCAAAGCTGTTCTGCCAAGTGTACCACTGATGTCAGCCTGACAGCCCATCTGCTTGTCTGGACCACACTTCCTCCTTCTCAGGAAAAAAAAACACCTTCCAGCTTCAGCAGGTTTCTCTCAAACCCTTGTTACATGTGCTTGTGATTTCTGAGCCCCAGTTTGCTCAGAAATACAAATGATTTGCCCCTCGGTTTCAATGATCTTGTATTTTTTTGTCCTCCTGCAAGACCATCCTTCTTCATCTCCACCCCCACAAGTCCACTCCCACCCAAACAGCACCCAGCATCACCCTCAGGGCTCTGGAGGTGGGCTTAGCTCATGGAAAACCAAAACATGGAGCTCATTCCATCCCCCTGGGCTCTGCCCCACTCCCACCACACTCACCCTCTTTCTTTCTTGGTCCTTCTAATTGGGCTGAGGAATTTGTATTTTGCTTTGCCAGCCTGAGCTCAGGCAGGGTGAAATCTCACCCCTAGATCCTGCCTGCCAAGACATCTGTCTGTGTTTTCTTCCAGGCTCTTCACTTACTCCTAGCACCTATTTGGAGGTGGGAATTGATCTTAGCCATCCATATAAGTATTTTCCCTTTTTTTTCCAGAAGAAAAGGTCCAGCCAGGTTTTACATTTCCAAGCTTTGAAGCCTTCACTCTCTGTGACCTCTCTGACTGATTCTCCTAATTTCTCTGCATTTCCCCTTCTGAACCTGAGAATCCTCTTTCCAGCCCCACCTGGGTTTTACCTGTCGTTCAGCTGAAGCTCAAAAGGAACCTCAGTCTAAGGGTCCATTCTCCAAGGAGCCCTTCCATGAGGTCCTCATCCCTTGCCCAGACATAAAACAACACACAGCACTTCATCCCATGGCTGTTTGTAGAGGGAATTAATGGTTCTTCTACCCAGGGAACAGCCAAGCTAGGCAGTTAACACAAGTATTGGTTCTCCAATCTCTCATGGGTCTTCACCAACATCATCAGAAGGGTTCTATGTAGCCAGCAAAATTGCTTGGCCATTATAGCTGCAATAAAGGGTTCTTGGTCTGCTCTAGGCCACATCTCTTTCTTCTGTGATATGGTTTGAAAGCCCTTGAGTGTTGGGCACCAAGATCCTTCTTCCAGCCCTATCCCAACCTGAGGCCAGTGAGGCACTGGATCAGGTTGCCCAGGGAGGTTGTTGATGCCCCCTCCCTGGAGTTGTTGAAGACCAGGTTGGATGAAACTTGTGCAGCCTGGTCTGGTGGGAGGTGTCCCTGCTCACAGCAGGGAGGTTGGAACCTGATGATGTTTAGGGTCCCTTCCAACCCTCACCATCCTGTGACTCAGTGGCTCGTCCCGAACTCCTCACCATGACTGTGACTCCAGAGAGGAAGCAAACGTGGGATCATGTGTCTTGCCCAAGCCAGGAAACCCCCAGAATTTCAACTGCAGGCAAAGAGCTGTGCTTGTAGCTGCTTCATTGCTCTTGTCACAAGGGGTGTGAGGGGCCAGCTGAGGCCAGCCCAGCCAGCTCAGCCGCGGGGGAAACGGGCGGCGCTGCCACCACTTTCATGCACAATTTTCCACGATGCTGCTGATTGGGATGCAGCAGGACTGGGCAGGAACAGAAAGGCTCTCGCCTCCAACAGCCACCTCAGGATGTGAAGCAGGGCAACAAGAGGCTGAAGCAGAAGGGGAATTTTTGAAGCCAAAAAAATTCACACCCCAAAGCTGCTCTAGAGCTGCAGTGCTGAGTGTCCCCTGGTAGCACAGGTACTGCTTTTAGCTCAGCCACCAGGGACATGTACTCAACAGCCATGATACCCTTGCTGCTGGAGGATGAGTGTGCCTCTGCTGATCCCCCAAGCCAGGCAGCACCTCCTGCTCTGCTCCTCAAGCCATCTCTGAATTCTGACTAAAGCTAATCCATAAACTTTGTATTTAACTAGAAAGCCCCAAACCGTAACACTTCTCTTGCAGCACAACCCGTCCTCTCTGGTAGGCATCACTCAAGCTGCAGCCTCACAAAACCATTCCTAACTTTAAAAAGCCCTAACCAAGCTTGACAAGGGGCTGCAGGAGACAGAAATGAACGTATCTCATACAGAAGCCTCAAAAATCCTTCCCACCTGCCAGGCGGGTCCAGCTCCCCTGCTCCCTCTCGTCACCCTCATCTGCCACGTGTCCCTTCTCCAGAGGTTTGGGACTTGCCACCCCTGTTTATACTCCCAGCACTGAGGCTGAGAGGCAGGAATAGATCTGAAAGCAGGACCAGTGTCTCTGAAGCAGAACACCTCTCTTTCATTTACCCCCTTCATCCTTCCTAAGCTCTTGATAACCACTTATTTTAATATTCCAATCAGGCAAATCCAGGCTGCACCTCTGAGGTTGGAGGGGGGGGGGGAGGATTTTTTTCTTCATTCCTCCTTATTTAAACATTCTTTATTCAAGCTTTCATCATTTGCCAGTTAAGTCAACTAATTTTCTACTAAACCCAATTTCACTCATGGTTGGACTGAAATTCCCTGATTTTTTTGCCTTGTGCCATGGTACCATTAATGGGGCTTGAAATTATGCAAATAAAATTGATGAGCACAAACGCTGCCTCCCCAGCCAGCACGGCCAGGAGATTTGTTTTTGAAAACTGCTTGATCCCAGCTCCTGGAGAAACCTTCTTTCCCAGATCAGATGAGGATGCCAAGCAGCTCCAGAGCCCCTGTGGCTCGTCCCATCCCCACACCCAGATGAGCACGTCAGGTCTCTCTGGGAGAGGAGCAGCCGACGAGGCTTCAGTCCAAGTGCTGAGCTCTCTTCTCCACCAGCTGCCTCCACCAGCTGTGCCTACTCCAGAATAAATCTCCAGCAGCTTCTTGTCCTCCTGTTTTCTCCTTATAAGTACTTTAATCAACCAGGGGACACATTCCCTGCCTGAGCATGGTGCAGGCTCTCTGAAATCAGATGACTGCAGGGTTATCTTTACATACCATTGACCTATTTTCCAATTAACCCAACATTTCCTTCCACGTTATCACTCCTGGGGCTGAAAGGTCCAGCACTAAATGGATCTCCTGGGCATCTTCTGGCAGGCTGGGCCAATATCCTATATTATCTAATTGCATCTTCTCTGTCTGCATCTGCTGTCATCAGCAACACAGACTGCAGTGGGGGAAATGGAGGAAACCTCTGCTCCCTCAGCTTCTCCCTGTCTACAAAAGCCCAGGAAGCATAGGACCATTATCCAGGGATGAAAGGTGCTGGAGCTGAGCCCAAGCAACTCCCTGGGGTCTGGGACAAGCCCCTCATGAGCAACTGAAAGTGCAAATCAGAGCCCACAAAATGAACACCCCACTACATGGTCTCTGCTTCCAGCTCTTCCTTCTGCTAGAAGGGGCACAATTACCTCAAAAGTGGAGATTTCTCAAGCAATTACACAATGATTTTTAAGCTGCCTGCCATGGTTTTACTTAGGCAACACACACCTGGACTGCTCCTCTGGCCCATCATCAATCCTGTGTGACACAGCCCTACACATCTGGGGGTTCAGCAATCAATTGATTTATTTCCAAGGTTCAACAAAACCCTGTTTTCCTGTCATGGCACTTGCTGGAAACCTTGGCAGAACATCCCCAGGAGACAACTAATGCTGAGATTTTGCTGCTTGTCTGAGCAGCTCCAGCTCCAGCAGGAGATCCCTTCTATCAGGAGACCCCAGGAAGGCATTTTCTGAGCTGCAAAGATAAGCTACAAGGAGTGAGGGCTGCTGGATGCTTTGCATCTTATAACGGGGTTGAAAGACTCCAGAAATGGAAAGTCAACATTCCCGTGGGGCTGGAAGCTGGATTTGATCCAGGGACTCCTGGTTGGACCAGGTGTGCTGAAATCTCCATCCTTACCAGCCCAGAGGGGCTCTGGGTCCCCACAGGGAGGACCAACCTTATATAAAATACCCAATGATATAAAGGGTTATGATAACCCTTGTGTGACAAAGCACAGGTTTCTGCAGTGGCAAAGGAGCCAGCCAGCAGGTCCCCATTTGGTGACAAAACAACCATATTCCATGAAGGAGGGGAATTTAACACCTTGGTAATTCCTGCTAATTTATGCATCTTCCTCTTCTCCACAACGAAGCCCTCAAAGGTGGAAGAGCTCCCTCCCTGCTGCTCCTCTCCATCCAGGGCAGCTC